CTACACTAAACACTTAACTACACTAATAAAACTGAATAATAAGCGAATAACTAAACAATAAACTACAATGAAATAAATAGTTAGTTATGTTATAGTAAACTACGATGTTCTTATATGGAACTGTTACCTAAAATCCAATGTACTGAATGAAAACTGGCTCCAGATTTTCGGGTGGTCTCAAGCAGTGGGGCAGGATTGCGAAATCGGGGGTTAAGGGTTTAATTAATGTGGATATTCGTTGCGTACCAGCTAAGAATGCCCATAGGCGCTCGATGACGGCGATGGAATGGCTGCTCATCTTGTTGGCAACACAAAGGTCTTACACACGTAAAATATAAGGCATTTATGCGTGGTTTTGATTATACATCGGCTTTAGTGGATAGCTTACTGATAGCTAAACGTTCCTCAGCCATCTCTCTTTTTAAAACATCCGATTCCTTATCCGCTAACAGTTAAGTTGTTCACCCACCTTAGATACTCCTAACCCTTAGTCCTATGGTTAATTTAATTTTATTAATTTCAGCCCAGTCTAGTTTTCAATTTATTATTTAGTTTAATAGTTTTAGATTTGGATTTAGTTTAGTTTTCAGTTTACTTTACGCAGACGTCAGACAAATGTACTTAAGTAACTACTGTATACTAAACTAAACCGACTAAACTAAACAAAATTAACAGAAATAAAAACAAAACTATGTTAACAGTAAAATTAAATCAACAAACTCAAAACTAAAGTAAGATCACCTGTCCCGTAAGGCAGAATTCTGGGGCTAGGGGTATCTGAGGTGGGCGACCAACTTAACCTTTACGCATTATCCGATAATTCGGAGTTACCTAACGTTCAAATAAATGTACCCAAACCCTTCTACCATGGCGGAGCGTGCGCCTTGAGAGTTGAAGACTTGGCAGGGTCACAGGGCTTCTTCTATAGCCTACATAGCACCTTTTTGCCTACCTCCCCAGCATCTCCTGTCCCCTCCTCCTTCCCCTGGCCCCTAAGAGTGGCCACAATTTTTGCCCCTGCCTGACCTACTTCCATACTAGAGCGAGTTTGGGCGTTTAAGCAGGCAAGCAGGCAGAAGGTATGGGACGTATTTCAAGACTGCCTATGCGAGTGACGTTCTGCTCTACGTTCTGCATACGCACACGTGCGCACCCACAGTAGGAGTGTGCTCAGATAACGTGTAAACACACACATAGTTTAGCAAACAGTACTGATGAAAGTACATTTTCTTAGGGCGGGGCACAGAAACCGGGCCATATTCGTTACAGAGGAGCCATGCCGGTCACTAAAACATGTACCGGAGTAGTAGTAGTATTACCAGGCTGAGTAAAGCTGAGTACCAGATTTATAACCTTGCTGCAGCAGCAGCGGCATTAAATCAGCTTTGAGGGATAACCCGCTCCAGTGAATCGTGATTTACGCCTACCGAGCGGTGACTGAGCAAGACAGGG